AATAATATACAATTGACGGGCGCCCGAGTTTTAACTAATTTATTTAATCCATATGAGAATAGAAATCAACAATAATAGCATGAGTTATAATGAAATACAAACAATATAATTGATAAAAAATGACGATAGTTATAATAATAAATTCTGAACAATAAAATAATCCAGATCACGCTACGCGTCACCGGTTGCGATCGTGAATACCTCGCGAACGGTCTTGGGGTCTGTGCGGTCGCAACCACGCGACCGTGCGCGAAGCACGCGCGACAGCCACCAAGACCGGCGGATGACGAAGAATCCGGATCCGTTTACTGGACGCGATCAACCCCGACGACGGTGACACTACTGATGACCCCGAATGGCGAGCGTGGAGAATACAAGCCACGCGCACGAATCGGTGGACCACGGCAAAACTATTCGGCCGTCGGCACGGCCCAACCGTACACTCGTGACGAAAACGTGGGAGACGGTACGGCGTTTGCACGTTTACGCGGTGGTAGTCTTCAACAGGAAGAAAACAAACACGCACAAAATAAAGGTCGGCACAGACGATCCGCACAACCAGCTTGCTTGGTTGCAAGTGCCGCATCGGGAAATAATCCCAACGCGATGATCCAAGTGCGCCGATAGAGAGTTCGAGAAAATTCCACCATCGGCACGTCATTGGAGGGAACCGGTTGTCGTGGCCAGATACAAATGTGATAGCTCGTTTGAACACGCAGCATTTGAATAATGAGTGTTATTGATTAAATTGTAATTATTAATGCGAACGTTTATGCACTCGAAGTTCAGTGATTATGTTTCATGAACTCGGGGAAAACATATGATCTATGGTAATCATTACGGTTAATGTAGCACGTTCAATTTTCGGTTAAATAACAGCCATCGAATAATCGTTGCTTCATTTGTATTCGAGTATAAAAAAAAGTAAATAGTTCTCCTCCGTAATTCAGAGCCGATAATTATGATTATACTTTATAAAAGTGTAAGTTTCATAACAGTGCGGTATCGAAACATAACCGCACCGGTCGTTGAAATCGCCTACAAACGCATTATTTACACACATTTACGGTCAGGCTACCCTGTGTCATCAGTACGTACACTTAGCAAATTCCAATAAAATAAATCGTACGATAAATCTTACGAGATTTATTGGGAACAGTTAGATTCGACACCGTTAAGAAACGAAAACTTGTTCATTGACTATCGACACTCCGTTGTCCGTGTTCACGTTTTTTGTCATCACAAACTACATAAAACGGTCGCTAAAAATATATTCACTATTCGGATACAAAGAGTAGGGTTGTTCGAAATTGTTATGAAACCTTTACTTTTATAAAGTATAATCATAATTATCGGTTTTGAATTTGAACTATTTACTTTAATTTACCTCATTAATAATTACACGTGTTTCGTTAAATAGTAACGATTATTTAAAAAAAAATATATATCGTTTTTGCTCCAACATATAAATTAATCGGAATTAAACTAAATCCTATAATTTTTCTTAAACAAAACACACAAAATTAGTTAATTAACCAAGTTTCATGTGAAATATTATTATGTTATTTCCAAGTGTCAAAAATCATTGCTTGTTTCCATAACGTTATACATGTAAAAAAATGATTGAATTTGATAACAAAAAAATGTAACAAAACGATAAACGAAAACATTTAAAATACGTAAGACAATAAATATCGCCAAAAAAGTGATATTAAAACATTATTGAAAATATTCATACATTTTACATAGTTTTACGATTATTTTGAGAATATGTAACGTATGAATTAGATTTCTACTTCCATTTTTACATGGTTACCGTTATTGGTTTAAATCAGAACGTCAATAAAGAATTTCCGTATTGAGAAATGAATAATAGAATGATAAATCAATTGAAATGGTCATGTATACATTTATTATGGACACTGATTTATGGGGGGATATGTGCAATAGGATATTGACAAAATAGCATCTTCACATTATTGTCGTCTTCATTTTACAGAACCACACTCCTGGGACTGGATCTTTGTGGTGAATCATTTATGAATCGTATTTTTATTATAATCTATTACTATTATAGTCACAATTACGACCGTTATTGTTTATTTTTTATTTTTGTGGGTGATTAAATTATGAGCATAATTGGAGTAATTTTTATCATTCAAATTTTCTACAAAAGAAAAAAAAAAATGAATAAAAATATAAATACACATCATGGTAAACCGATAGATTCTTCGTTCACTCAAAAATGTACGGGTGATGCTTATAATATATTATATTTGTTAAGATAATGGTACGGATTATTCCGTCGCTGTTTTTAAACTCACCGTTGATGATTTATTTGTGGTAACAATAATGATTAAGATGTTGCCAACTCATATGTTCTGAACATATTTTTTATTGTTTTACTGACGGTTACACTAAAATTATAAAAACTGAAAACGGTGAAACTCCTAGGTCTAATGAAATACGGGGACAAACAATTGTTTGAAGGAGACTGCAGAAGTACTTTAACGTTTTTTAGGGCATTAAAATGCGGGAACTATTAATACTGGCACGAATAAATACCGTGGTTAGGTTTGTTTTAAATAATATCATAATATCCGAAGAGCTTCGTGTAAGATTCTTCTGGGCCGTTTTTTCGTTATATTTTTTACGACCTAATCGCGCTCGATAAAAAAAAAAAAAAAAAAAAAAAATGAAATGACATCACGCGTTTCCGACCGGCGAAATATCGTCGCGGCGACTAGCAGTTTATCACGTCCTTATATATATATGATGTACGAGTACCGATTTTCAGGTAAATCCGAGAGATTTCCTACGAACGGGAAAGGGCTGCGGCGTCGGCACATATATATATATATATTATTGAGGTAAGGACGTGCCGTCGTCCTGCCGAACGTCTTACGCGCGTAAGACGATGTCCTCGTCACGGCGCGTACCTCCTACTGTCCGTCGTTTCACAGAAAACGGTTGTGAAACGTCTTGAATTCTAAATCACTCGGTCGCGCGCCCTCGTCGTCCGCGCGCAGTCCTTTAAGCCGTGCGCGGAAGGGGTTTACATACAGAGTGCTTACAATGCATATATATATATGAAAAATAAACGATCATGACCGGCATTTCGGACGTGTCTCTCTCCGTGCCGTGTACACCGCGCGCCGGCCGACCGTCCGACGATCGTGGGTCCCGATAATATGGAAATTTCGTTTCCTTTACGACTTCCGCCGGGGGAGGCGATTTCGACTGCGACTACGACGGCCGCGACCGACCGACGGTGGCGATGTGTCCGGACCGGCTCGTACACGTATTACGCGCAGGTACGTGCGCGTATAAAACCCGAAACGCGCGCGCTCGAGTCAGACTTCCTGTGTTTTCCGTGCTCCAAAACAACAACTGTCGTTTTTTTATTTTTTTAGTTTTTTTTAGTTTTTTTTTTCCGATTTTTTTTTTTTTCCGTTTCGTTTTTTTTTTTTTCTCTCTCTCCGACGTTATAGCGATCACGCACAGAATATATTAAAACGTGTGTACAACGCAGTCGGGCGGTACGTGCAGACGAAAATCGGTTCGTTCCCACCGGCCGTCGCCGGCGTCGCCACCACCTATAATCCCCGACCGATTCCACAGGCGTTTCGGTTTTTATTCACGTCCGCCGTATTCCCGTCATTCATACACCGTATAGATGCTTTTATTAAAAACTTTTCAGAAAACATTTTTTCCCGATACATTCACACTGCCGGCGTCCGTCGTCGTACTTTTTCGATCGCAAAACGTACATCGTGTATTTTTCTCCAACACTGGACTTCAGCTAAACCATTAAACGTAATTTATATCCGTATCGGTACGGCTAACTTTTCTGCAGGTATTAGACACTTATTTCGTTGTGTTGTGGTTAGGTCGTAAGATTGTCAATTTCAACTAACCTTTTTTCATTTTAGCTGTCTTTACTACAGACGCCACATTATAAAGTCCCGAAAATTGGCTCTCTAGTCACTTCGAGTGGCCTATCGCTGGTACACACCGGGATGGTCCAACCTTTTGTAGTTGGAGGGTCAATTTGCACTTTTATAAAACCACTAGTGACCGCCAAAAAATATTATTATCCAATAAAATCTGCAGTCGATAATCGCCGTCTAATAATGACTTTCACGACTTCTCACCACAAGAAATCGGATTCACCATGGATGCTATAAAAACACTATACTTACATCCGTACGTAATGAACTGAATTCGATCATGATTTCAGACGTTAATAAATATACCGTGTATACCTAAGTTTTATAGTTAAAACCATTGCTCGACTTGAGAGGGGACGCAGGGGGACGGAGTACCCCAACTAATTTTCAGAAATTTTAGCGTCCCCCTACTATTATTACACTATAATCATAACGCTCAGCCAGTTTTAGAGACGTTCTTTTTTTTAAAGTAAATAAAGTCCTCCATCTTTAATTTTGCGAAGTCGAGTACTGGTTAAAACCATAAAAATTATACAACGCATAACGGATTTTGTTATAATGTTATTGTAACTTTTTTTTTAAATATAAATAATATAACTCTTAGTTCTAACCCCCCTCCCATGGCCAAAAAAAAATACGAAGTGATGTGTTGAATTCACTAAAAAATTCATGGTCGTATGAATATAAATTAATTTATACAACTATTTTAGTACAAGCTAATAGACAAGTAAGATGTACGAAATAATATTTATAATAAATTAATGTTCAGCTGTACGGTTATAACACTATACCTATGTCTTAAAACGATTGTATAACTTACAAAATAAGAGAGATATTCGAGGGAATATAACCCGTTATATATATATAAAATATATAATTTCGGATAATACCACACTACGTCCCCCGTTTAACAAGTCTTAATCGTCATCGACTGCCAGACACAATTTAATATGTCCCGATCGATTGGAACGATTAAAATATTTTTCTGATCAAAAATTGATGCAATAAAATCATTTTCTAAATATAATATTAAAAAAAAAAAAAAGTGAATATTTTAATTTTTTTTATTTTACAATTAAATATACACATTTTGTATTACACAATCTGTACAACGTAACACAATTGGTATATGTGATATTATTGTGTAATAATAATAATAATAATAATTAGTTCCCAGCCGATTGCCATCAATGGGTGATTTCTTAATACAAAAATTCATTACTTGTTACATAGTAATTTAAACATAAAAAATAAATGTTAAAACAACGTTCCGGATGCTATCCGGAGTGGAAATACAGCGGCCACGACAAACGCCATCGAATCATTAAGGTAGCTTCACACTACGCATGTTTCGCGTTTCGTGTTTTCACGTTTTCGTTTAATTTCGTGAACAGTGCGTATAGCTTTTTCACGAAAAACTTCTTCGTGGAAACTGTTTCGCGAACGAGGCGGTAAATTGACGAAATCAAAGGACACGAAACAATAATTTCGTATTGTTTCGTGTCGTTTCGTATGGTTATGGTATAGGTTTCGTGTTGTTTCGCGTTCCGTATGTTTTCGTAAACAAGAAGTGTTCGTATCACTAGGTTATAAATTAAATTGGATATAAAATATAGGTAAATGAATGTAATCGATTATCATCGTGTGGAATCACGTGATTTCGTTTAATTCCAATTTTAAAAACCCAGTTCTTCAATTAGTTGTCCGAGTGGCGTCCGAGCGGAACGATGAACTAGTGCTAACATTTATTGAGGAATTCAAAAAGTATCGGTGTTTGTGGGATCCGAAAGATACAACCCGCGAGACACAAACTGAACGTACTGAACAACAGTAAACCGAGTAACGAACGATACACTGCGAAACGGAAATCGAGAGACGCGAAACGCGCATAGAGTATGTGTACCTTTTCTACGAAACACTACGAAACGAGAAACGCCAAACATGCCTAGCGTAGAGCTATTTGTATACGAGTATTGCTCGACCGTGAAAAGTTTTGTGGCTTCCGGCATCAATGTCCACGTCTCGATCATCGGTCATTGTCGTCGTCGTCGTCTTTGTTGACCGTACAAGATTTGCATGTGCACGGGAAATGTTCGGTCGTTCCGCTGCGTTTCCCGGTACGGTTTCTCGGCCCCGGAGCGGCGGTGCCCCTTTGCTCGGTCGCGGACGAATCGACGGTCTTCCAACTCGGCGTGGTCCCTGCGGACGACAGCTCTTTGCGCGTCGTCGACTCACGGTCTCGCGGGTCCGTCGTCGACTTTTCGTCGATCCTCTGTTTACGTTCGCACTCCTCGCAAGAACACCGGTCCGACTTTTCACTCGTCCCGCCTCCGTTCGGTGTCGACTTGTTTGAACATCGGCCGGGCCGGTCCGTCGGGTGCTTCGGAGGCGACGACCGACTTTCCTCACCGGGACACGGATCATCCGGTCGGCTAGTCGTAGTCCGACCCGATGCAGTCCGTTCCGTTGTCGTCCGACTAGTCGTAATCCATCTTTTCATCTTCCGTCTCGCTGTCACGGTCGTCATATTTTTCGATCTCGTAGTCAGCACTCGCTCCGAGGACCGATTCGACTTATCCGTCGGACGGGTCTGCGACGACTGGGTCTCGCGCAAACGTTGATCCGACTTGCGGATTGCGGTCGTCGCTCTTTTCCGTCTGAAATAACGAATTGAATTACAAACATAAATCCGCACAATCATTTTTCGACATGCAAAATAAAATATTCATATATATATATATACTATATAATATACTATATTCATTCTGTGAATAGGATCACTATACCTAGCGGCTTTGGTTTCGTCAATACATATTAAAAAATGAAGTCGCTTTTTTTTTGATAAACTCCAAAACGACTGAATGGATTTCGATGTGGTTTACACACACACACACACACACACACACACATAGTTTATATATATTGCACGTTAATATATAAGTTTTGAGTGAACAAATGCCGAAACGTATAATCAAATACCCTCTAACACTTAAGAATATAGATAAATATATATATATATATATAGATAATTTAATATAATTTAATATAAATTCTGAAAAATGCCCTATAAATGGAAAAAAAGTTAAATTTGTCATAAAATGCAACAAAAAAAGGAAAAAAAAACTACATTCATTTAATCAGTATCCCTTGGCATATTTTAACACATTTTTTTCTTACGTACCAGTGTGTTGAAACATCAGAAAAAAAGATGTATTTGCATAAAAAAAATTAGCCATAATTAGTATATATTGCTCCGCGTATTAAAAATAAACGAATAAACATATCGTTACTGGATTGTGGTCGATTGTGGTCGTTCTTTTTCCGTCGCTTTTGACTTCGTAGAACACAATTCTTCGGTCGGCCCACATCTTTTACACGTGACGAACGTATCGTCCGGTATTTTAATAATTTCATACTCGGGATTCTTTTCGCCTTTTCCCACTTGGCTACCGATATATCTGCAAACATTATTAGAACAGAATTAGAATCGCAATCGATGTCATTTATTTTTATTGTTTTTATTATATTTCTCGTTAACGATACATTAAGATCTAAACATATTGAATGATATAATCGAATTTTATTCTTCAAGAATACTTTTTGCGTAGATAACCAATTGCCATTCGCCTGCTTTCACCTTCATCGGTCCGCGTCGTCTCTTCCATCCTTTTAACTTCATCCTTATTTCTAACATAACCGATTGGATAGCAGCTACTGGGTTCAAACGCGTGATCGAAAACTAATACAAAAGTGAAAACTCGAACAAGCATGTTTATCATTATTGTTGCACGATCAAGGAATACGATAAATTAATCGTCAACTAATAAGGATATAAAACAAATCTGAAAATTAAATATATTATACCGTGCGATTTACTTTACGCGAAAAAATAAGTGTAAGAAATCGAATTGCTAAAATCATTTATAACCAAATTCAAACTGCATAATATCAGAAAAGACATAGTTTAAAAAAAACCCAATTCGCTCAATTCACGCCCATTGTTATATTGTTAGAAGGTAACGAGTAGCAACCGTGGTATCGGCCAGTTACACGTGATACGAACATCTCTATTGTATGACGTAAATATTATAAATAAAAGCGTTAGTAAATTCGCTGACCACGTGATGAAAAATATTCCAAACCCAACTATAAATAATATTTTCTCGATCAACATTAAAATCTCTATATTTGAAAAAATTCTAGTACTCGAATATACTTTGACATGCTCTTCGACATAGAAGTAGCCCTCAAAGAAGAGCACACCATGAAGATTATCAACTTTCTAACCAACACAATATTATAAAAAAATGTCAACTTTTATTTGTAAAATCTTATATATAATAAAATGTAAAACCTTATAAAATGCTAATAACCTTTATAATTGAAAAATTGAAAAAAGGCTTAAAATAGTTAAAACGGAATAATAAATACATTAGTGATGAGCAACGATATAATTTTGTGTATCTATATCGTTTCGATTTTTCAAATATCGCAATGCCGCAAGGTGTACAATACCGATCGTATTATAGTGTCGTATCGAAAATCCCATTTTAAATGTTACCCGCGTAGTAATTATTAGTTATTACATATTAATAATTATTAATTCAAAAAATTGTTATACCTAGCTAATTGAAGATAAGAAAAAAAAACTAATAACACTCTGACAAATAAATAAATATGATAATATAGATTTTATAAAAAGTTCAAACTATTTTTAAATAATTCAGGTGTTTAATCTTCAAACCCGATAACTGCATTCTGGCAAATAAATCCGTGACCGGCTAATCGTTTTCAATCAAAAATGAAAAAGTTTGTCGATTTCTCACCAGAGTATGGTCAAGATGTCCAAATCGATTTATAACACGAGCATAAACGGAGAAGATTGCTGACTCGATCCGGAGTGGTCTACTTCTTCTTTTCTTCGAACTTATTATATCGCCAGCTTTGCTAAACGGACGTTCGCACGTAGACAAGTAGCAACTGCCGACACTGATACTTCCGGGTACAAGTTCGAATTACTTTTTCACCGTCCGAGCGGACCTTTGTCCGGATGACGTTTTGCGCGACCCGATTTATCGTATCTACTACGGTCTATAGATAAAACGTAAATTTCGATATCGCCGAACGCGGTACAACATAAAACAATATCGATTCGGAAAATCTGTCACGATACCTTTGTCAGTGAATACATGGCATATACTGCAGACTCGACATCCAAAAACTTTTCACCGGTCGTCAGCATCGTTTTTCCATGTCGACAGTACACCAGTACACTCGCATTACACGGTCAATAACATACTGTCGGTGTCCAAAATATTGTCAGTGGCATTGATCGCGCGAGGGCCGCCGAAAACAATATCGATTCGGAAAATCTGTCGCGGGACATACGTCGTAGTGTACACGGTCAACGGACCCGTTCGATTCGTCCTTGTGCGGCCGTTGAAATCGCCTGCAAACGCGTTTTTCGCACACGTGTACGGTCAGTACGGCTGTACCGTGTTATCGGTGCGCAAACATTGTTGCGTACGCAACAATTTGTGAACCAGGTCTGGCCGTGGGCAGGCACAGAGCGTTTTACGATCGCAATCACTTATTATTACGATTACGATCGGCGTGCGCGAGAACAATAGGCGCCTGTACATCGGCCGTGCGCCGTTCGAAATCCCATTTCAACGACCACCGCCTCGGCAAATGACTTCGTGACAATGCACTTCAATGACTTCTCACCGGAGCCACTATGGAAATAACGCGCGGCACCGTGCCAAGGGTGGTGGTGCTCTCGGGCGAACGCGTTTCTCCGTCTGAAGTGTTTGCTCAACGATCACGGTTCCCCCCGCCCCGTTCCCGACGTTCAATCGTATTTCGTTTTCGGGTCAACGGCGCGCGTACAGCTCCTGCTCGTGTGTACGCTCACGCGTTCGTACGTTTGCTGCGGTCGTCCGTTTGCTTCGTAGGACCGCGAGCACGTAGCGAATGCCAACAAAATAAATCGTACGGATAAGTCTTACGAGATTTATCGGCAACACTCGGACCCGACACCGTTACGAAACGAAAACTTGTTCATTGACTATCGACAGCCCGTTGTCCGTGTTCACGTTTTGTGTCGTCACAAGCTACACGAAACGATCGCTAAAAATATATGTTCACTATTCGAATACGAAGCGTAGGGCTGTTCGAAACCGTTGTGAAACTTACACTTTTATCAAGTACAATCATGATTGTCGGCTCCGAATTACGGAGGAGACATATTTACATTTTTTATACTCGAATAAAAATGAAGCAATAATTATTCGATGGCTGTCATTTAATCGAAAATTGAACGTGCAACATTAACCGTAATGATTACCATAGGTCATATGTTTTCCCCGAGTTCATGAAATGTAATTACTGAACTTCGAGTGCATAAACGTTCGCATTAATAATTATAATTAATAAATAACACCAATTATTCAAATGCCGCGTGTATTACAAACATCTGCTCGCAAACATTTCTCGATTTTCTTGATTCGGTATTCGTTTTACTCGTCGTTCTAACGTGTGGTGTAATAACATTAATTATGATTGCGAAAATTCACACGAAACGAGAGGAACAATATTATTACACGACGTTAACGTTGTATTTTAAACATTTTACTACGTATACACTATAATACCAAAGATAATACTAAATTATGCATACCTGTTAATTTTCAAATGAATTATATTATATTCAATCACCGTCGATTTTACTGTATAGCAATACCGTACTGATAATAACTGTATTTCAGCATTTTTGTTACAGTCTTAAATACATTTCTATTTGATATGAGCGTGGAACATTTGCGCTTGATGCATCAATAAACAAATAGCCTTTGTAAGAGGAAAACAAAATTAATGAATACGCTTAAACATATCTGGCCACGACGATAACCCGAAATGGTTTTTCAACAAGACACCTAACAAAAAAAAAAAAAAAAAAACAACGGCCCTATATATAACGGATTATGTGAAAATACGTTTCATTTGTAGTCCGCGCTTGATGATATTAGCTGTTCGATATCTTATTCGATTTTTTGCGTAAAAGTTATCGTACGGTGAAATACGTTTCGTATATAATTTCGTTTGATTCATACGAAGTTGATATTATCCGTTCGATCAACTGTACCAGGGGTGGACAACTGGCGGCCCGCATCCAGCCCGCAAGCCTTTTTTATCTGACCCGTGCTATATTTTTAAAATACGTCATACAATTTTAAAGTTCAACGTCTATATTCTAGCTCAACGATTCTCAACCGGAGAGTCGCAACCCCCTTGGGGTAGCCCACAATTTTTTTAGGGTCGCATCATGTGAAAAAAAAATTATTTCAAATCAACAACAGCAAAAATGTCATTCAATTTAATTTTAAAAATATTAAAATTTATATAGTTTTTTTTTTTTTATTAACGCCAATCGGCTTTTATAATACGAGTATACCTATTTTTGTAAAATGTATACAAAAATAAATACAATAATAACAGTTTGTAAAACTTCTCAGTGCTTATACATTATACAAAAGTATCGTTAGACATCTTGGTGACATCTTAGGGGTTCGTGAACTCAAAAAGGTTGAGAACCAACCGCTGCTCTAGCTTATAGATATAATTATTATCTAGTATTAAACATTGTTAAATGTTTAAATGTCATAGGTACGTACACGTATAGCTTTTAAACATAACTGTTTGTACCCATAGACCTTATACTAAAAGACGGAGCATGGGTATAGATCCAGCGGTCAGACGTGAGTGCGCTGTTCTACTATTACTCAATTACTACGCACATGCGCATTAGAATTTCAGGTTCAACGATTGTTTGTTGCGTTTTCAAAATTATTGTATGATAAAGGATACATATACAAATAATGTCATTATATCATTATATTATACATTTATAATTAGGTAGAAACACAATAATTTTTATTATAGAGTTATATTTTTGGAGACTATGTTTATGGGATTATTTATTAGGCAAATTGATTTTTAAATGTTATAATAAAAATATACTGTACAAATATGAGAATAAACATGCTTTATGTCGTCAGAAATGACAACACTGATATGAGAATACTCGTGATCGCACCACTCAACCCCGCCAACCAGTGACGCTCCGTCTATTATATAATGTCTATGTTCGTACCGAACTATTTAACTATATCAGTCTCTTTGTATCATTCGTATTGTGCTGTCATGTGCATTAAATTTATAATTTCGGAACATAAAAATGATAATTAATATTCATATTTTGAATGAACATTTTTTTTTCTATGCTTTGGCCAGCTGGATTTTAATTTTCTAAAAATTGGCCCTCTAGTAACTTTATGTTGCCCATCCCTGAACTATACTATATTATATATTGTTAATCGTCGTATCGCGTACCGTTAAATATGTCGCTAAAAGTATTCACTTTTTTGTTGATTTCCCTCCACGCATTCGGATCATATAACTGCGCTCCGATCGGCTGTATCGGAAAAATAGAAGAAGCCAGAAGGGTCGCGGAGGACACGCACTGAGATAACGAGCGGATGACTGTGGTCAGCGGTCGTCTACTTGACAGGTAACAAAAGTGTTCCCCGATAGAATCGGTTTGTTTTCCTATCCATTGGTGCGGACACTGTTAAACGATTACGATTATTTCCGTCGAAGTGAAACATACAAACGATAAAAAGGGATATATGATTGTATATTTCGTGCGTGTTGATTTGCCTACAGCTCAAAAGAGGAGAGCGAACATGGCGAACCGGAGAACGTAATCGTTCGGATACCGGACGACGCGTTGGTAACCAGTAGAAGCGTCGTGCTAGCAGAAAAACCGGGTGATTCGGTTCACACGAGTACATTTCAAGGAAATTTGAAGGATAACAACATACTGTCCGGTAAGGGTACCAATGTTATTAACGCGTATGCATACTTGTGTGCCCCGTACGAACGATTGAATTCAACAAATTTTCCGAGTGAAATAACAATTTACCGTTCGCGTACGATCAACATAATATTAAGACGAAAAAAAATCGTATTACTCATGTATATTTTTATTACCGTGACATGTGCAACCTAAGCCGACCGCCGCGAGGATGCCACGGTTGTGCTTCGTCGTAACGGACGTGAAATCGAGATGGTAAAACGCCCCTCGAGAAGTCCACACGGTCGCGGACCGATAGGAAGCTGCCGTGGCACTTTAGAGCAACTGGTGGACATCATGGAGTATGTTTAGACATCAGGGGAGGGAACCTGCCACGGGCCATTGAAATTCGATAAAAATATTTTTATAATTGAATGATTAAACTACAATTTAGTAGATATTAAATAAAAATAATCATTACGATTTTTAAATATCTTACGAAAACACCTAGTTTATATAGTCCTGATAAAATAAGTTTTAAAATAAAAATAAAATTTATCGATTCAATTACATAGCTATTTATACGTTTTAAAAACAGCTTTAGTAACAAGGTTTTAAATTTCGTTTGAAAAAAAAATAATGCCCTACTCTCATATTGAATTTTTTTTAAAACCAATCACGAACGAAATTTAGTTTTTACGTAGAGCGTGAATATTGTTTTCCCTGGGACCCTAATCTTTCGCGGAAGGCGATAGATAACTAAGACGGAGCATTAAATACGTTGTTTACATTTTTATTACACGACGTTAACGTTGTATTTCAAACATTTTACTACGTATACACTATAATATAGAATATAATACTAAATTTTATGCGTACCTGTTAATTTTCAAATTAATTATTATATTCAATCATCGCCGATTTTACTGTATAACAATACCGTACTGATAATAACTGTATTTCAGCATTTTATTACAGTTTTAAATACATTTCTGATCATTGTTTGATATGAACGTGGAACATTTGCGCTTGATGCAACAATAAACAAATAACATTTGTAAGAGGAAAACAAAATTAATGAAAACGCTTAAACGTATCTGGCCACGACGATAACCCGAAATGGTTTTTCAACAAGTTACCTAACAACAACAAAAACAACGGCCCTTTAAATAACGGATTATGTGAAAATACGTTTCATTTGCAGTCCGCGCTTGATGATATTAGCTGTTCGATTTCTTACTCGTTTTTTTACGTAAAAGTTACCGTACGGTGAAATACGTTTCGTATATAATTTTGTTTGATTCATACGAAGTTGATATCATCCGTTCGACCAACCATACTACATATATTGTACATTGTTAATCGTCGTACCGCGTACCGTTAAATATGTCGCTAAAAGTATTCACTTTTTTGTTGATTTCCCTCCACGCATTCGGATCATATAGCTGCGCTCCGATCGGCTATATCGGAAAGATAGAAGAAGCCAGAAGGGTCGCGGAGGACACGCACGGAGATAACGAGCGGATGTCTGTGGTCAGCGGTCGTCTACTTGACAGGTAACTAAAGTGTTCCCCGATAGAATCGGTTTGTTTTCGTATCCATTGGTGCGGGCACTGTTGAGCGATTACGATTATTTCCGTCGAAGTGAAACATACAAACGATAAAAAGGATGTACGACTGTATATTTCGTGCGTGTTGATTTGTCGACAGCTCAAAAGAGGAGAGCGTACATGGCGAACCGGAGAACGAAATCGTTCGGATACCGGACGACGCGTTCGTAACCAGTAGAGGCGTCGTGCTAGCAGAAAAACCGGGTGATTCGGTTCACACGAGTACATTTCAAGGAAATTTGAAAGATAACAACATACTGTCCGGTAAGGGTACCAATGTTATTAACGCGTATGCATACTTGTGTGCCCCGCGCGAACGATTGAATTCAACAAATTTTCCGAGTGAAGAAATAACAATTTACCGTTCGCGTACGATCAACATAATATTAAGACGAAAAATATTGTAATACTCATGTATATTTTTATTACCGTGACATGTGCGACCGAAGCCGACCGTCGCGGGGACACCACGGTTGTACTTCGTCGTAACGGACGTGAAAACGGGATGGCGAAAAGTCTCCGAGAAGTCGTCCACACGGTCGCGGACCGTCAGGAAGTAGATGTTCACCACGTATCGATGTGTCTATGTGGCTGTCAGAACCGAAATCTTGTAGATGCGAAAAACGGAAGAAAATCCGTACACGACGAACGTGACAAGGCCGAACCTGATGCGTTACGGCAACGAGCCCAAATGTAATATCGTACAAAAAGTCATAAATAAACTAATACATGTTTATATGAAAAACAATTAGATTCCACTAATGCACTGTTCCACTAATAACAGTGGTTCTGTTATATTTTTTTGATTTTATTTCAAATTTTTATTACTGTAAAACGCAGTTATTTTTTTCTCACAGCTTTACGGTCATTAAGTCCTATGTCTGCAAAACAAACTTTTTTCAATCTATCTCTATTCACAGTTAATTCATTAATATTGTCTACTTCCAGTCGTCTTAGTTCCTTCTAACTCTTTTCAATCCATCTCTGATTTGGTTTTTCTTCCTTCCCTGCAAGGTCCAGCTTAGTAAGTAATGTGTTATTGATTTAGTCCTTTGTACACGACCGATCCAAACCAGCCATTCGTATCGAATTCATGCTATTATATTTGGCTTTCCGAATAATTCTCGAAGTTCCCTATTAGACCTGATTTCGTATGATTAGTTTTCGTCCCTTTTTTCAACCCGTAGATTGTCCCGAGGAACTTTCTCTCCGTGTCGTATGATAAAAATAACGGTTTATTTGTAAATCGAGTGGGGATATCCACACAATTGACATGAGCTGTTCGATCTCCTTTTGTATTATATCTTATTCAACTGTATTACATACCCTTCGATATGTTGATTATCGTTTACATTTTTTTTTTTTTTTCATTACTACTATTCACGCATTTGGATCATGCGGCTGCGTTCCAATCTGTTACATTGGAAATAGCGATGAAGCCAGAAGAAATGTAATGGAAATGGAGACCGATTCCGGTGATAAAAAGAAGATTGTAGTCGGTCAGCCACTAAACGAAAGGTAACAAAAAGGATTCTCAAAGAATCAGATTTAATTCGTACTCGTACGTTTACCGTCGGTACGGTAAAACGATCGGGTGGTGATTTTCGTCGACGAAAAATATACCTTATAGAAATGTTAAAAAAGGACGACATCAACTATACGGCGTTATCCATACTTGCAGATTTGCCATCAGCCAAAACGGAAAATCCGAAACCATTGGTCTTGCGTTGGATGTTACTTTGGTACCAGTCGTTATGTTCATGTCTGGTAAAGGTGTTGGGTTAACTAAGAAAGAACATGATTCAAATACTGCAAGTCCGACTGAAGGTCAGTAAAAAAAAATATATATATACAGTCGGATAAGGATATAGATAGGATAGAATATTAAATAATACATTTTCGGAGGGAAATCAATTCACCTTTCGGGTTTGAAAACATAATAAAATATAAAAAGTAATTCCAATAATATGTTGTATAACTTATAACAACACCTTTATGGGAGACGAGCAGTATAAGGCGGTTGTGTCTGAGCGCACGACAGCCAGTTCGGTGGTTTCGCTCTCTAGGCGAGGGCTGTCCGTATCGGGAGAATAATCTGCCACAGCTTCCTTATACTTGCCGTCTAGGTTTACATTGTTACCAAAAACAATTAAGTTATTAATATCTTTCTTAACGTTAAAAAAAAAATTAATAAATAAACAGCACCTGAATACCTACTCCAAAGGGATATAAATTTGAGACTTACCCAACGTCCGATTGAAGCTGATCGTCACCATTTTACCAGGGTCGTTTTTGAAAGACGACTTCAAAACGGGATCATAAAACAATACCGAGAAATTCTCACGGCCGAGGAGCTCCGAGGAGATGCTGTCACTCGATCACTGAGTGGTCAATGCAACTGTAATTTATGCCAAAATGACTTTTGATATGGAAAACGGTTTATTTTAAACACGTTCCACATTATTTATTTATTCTTGTTTAAATTGTAATTGTTTCATTTCAAGAAATAGAAGGTATTATGAATAGTTAAAAAAAAATAATTATAAATATATTTAATATATATTATATCAGTCTTTTAAATTATTTTATTCCAACTCATAGTAAGAATTTGTAAAATATTTTGTGAAAATGTTGTTAATTATTGTTAAAATTTGATTTTAATTAGGAATCAAAGTTAATACTGGCTACTGTACTAGCTACAATTTTTTTTATAAACATTAATTATATTTAATACTTATTAGACAAGATAGATTATATACTCATTGTAAATTGTAATATGTTAATAAACAAACAAAAATAATATTTATTATCAGGTAATAGCTATGCGTCTTTAATCAATATTTATACGAGATTACCAGTTAGACACGCTTGTCTTGATCATATTTTCATTAAATATAATGAGCACTTAATACGTTTAATTAATTTAGGTGTTCTTCAGACAGATATAACTGATCATTTTCCAACTTGTGTTTCCATTCTGGTTAATTATTTTAATAAATATAAAGAAAATAATATTTTTAATATATTTAATAAAGAAAAAATGTAAAGATCTTAAATCAAGAAACATGAACTAATGTGTATAGTAATAATAATGCGAATGAGTTTTATTTTGAATTGCATAAAATCATTTCTAACGCACTTTATTGTTCAACGATTTTTAAGTTAGTGAATTCTAAAAATAAGCATCTGAAAGAGTGAATGATAATGGGCTTACTGAAATCTACTGCACAATAGCCCTTTCGTTTAAATGTAAAAAAACCCAAACAACCAAGCAGCTTATTACAAAGACTATAATAATAATTACACTAATATTATAAGACTATCAAAAAGAAGATTTTACAAAAACAAATTTAAAGAAGTTTCTAATAATCTGAAATTAACCTGGCAACTTATAAATGTGGTTATTTGCTCTAAAATAGGTTTTAACAGGAATGATAAAATGAGTTGTATAATAAATAATGACAAGTCAATTGATGTAAATGAAGATCCGGAAGGAGTGTCGAATATTTTTAATGAATTTATTTTTAATATTGGAAAAAGTTTATCAATGAATTTCAGTAATTTATCAAAAAATAATTGTAAAAGTTAATAATACTATCTCTTCTGATGATTTATTTTCTAAGAAAATTGAAAATTCGGAAGTTGTCGAAATTGTCAGAAATTGTAAAGATGACACGGCGGCAGGTTTTGATAAAGTAACCATCAAATTAATTAAATATATTATTGAACTTATAGTTACTCCGGTTGTTTTCATTTTTAATTTGAGTATACAGCAAAGTGTTTTTTCCCGGAAAATTTAAAAGTAGCATTAATCAAACCTCTCCTAAAAGGTGGAAATAGTGAAATTTTAAATAATTACAGACCGATATATTTGCTAAATAATTTTTCCAAAATATTTGAGAAAATTATTAATTCAAGTCTTATTACATTTCTAGAGGATAACAAAATCTTGTCCGCAAATCAGTTTGGTTTCAGACCTGGCATGGGCACGGAAAACGCTCTGTACAAAACGCGTTTACGTCGTGACGTAATTTATTTATAATGAATTAGATAAAAGTAACAAAGTGATCGCTATTTTTCTGGATTTAGCTTAAGCTTTCGATTTGAGTTAATCATACTTTACTATTATAGATTTTACCTAGTTTCGGTATTAATAACTTGAGTCTGAATTGGTTTCCAAGATATTTACAAAATAGGAAGCAAAGAGTTGAGGTTAATGATTCTTTAAGTTAGGAATGTACTATCGACTTTGGTGTTCCGCAACGTAGCGTGTTAGGTCCAATTTTATTTTTATTATACATAAATCTGATTTGTGAACTCAAAATTGATGGATCCATAGTATCATATGCGTATGATATTTGATTATTATTTTCCGACATTTTCCACTGTCGTGGCATATGTTTTAGAGCAACTGGCGGACATCGTGGAAAATACCTGGACCTCAGGGGAGGGGACCTGCCCCGGGCAGTTAAAATTCGATAAAATCTTACGAAAACACTTATTCCTGATAAAACAAGTTTTACAATAAAAATAAAATGCATTGGTTCAATTACATAACTATATGTTTTAAAAATAGCTTTGGTGGCAAGGTGTTACATTTTGTTCGAAAAAAAATAATCCACTACATTCTTATTATTTTATTTTTTTTTTTTCAAAGACTATCACGAACGAATTGAACATGAACGAAATTTAGTTTCCACGTATGCTCGAAGATTCATCGAATATAATATAAACCGATCGTAAATCGTGACTGTTGTTTTCCCAGAGCCCCTAATCCTCCGCGGAAGGCAAAAGACATAGATAAAGAATATATCCTTTTCGTCTCGTAATCGTTTTTCTCCGGAGCCCGTTCGCGATCTTCATCCCAGTGGTCCATAGAAACGGGATACGAACGGTAAGGAAAGAGGAACACCATCATCGTCGCGTACCGGTGCCCCCCCCCTTACCACCACCGGGCACAACGTAATAATGGTCGTGGTGCACGCTCGCTCGGTCGTCGCAGGACAATTATTATTGTTGTTACGGTCACAGGACCCGCGTCAACGTCCGACGGCGTGTCAATCGTACGGCCGGCGGAGGAAATCGGAAGACGACGGCGGCGGCGAAGGAGCAAAGTGGTTGTGGCGTGCGTGTGTGGGCGGCGCGCGTTGCCGGGGCCACTTCCTACGGCGGCCCGCGGTACAAAATGGACACGGTGCGCAGTGCGGCCACATGGCCGGTGCCGACGGCGTGACGGTACGCGTCCCGTTGATTTATGCACAGGAACATCAAACTCCGTGTTCAGGTTCCTTAGGACGTGTGTTTATACGTCATGAAAATAAAACATGAATAATAGGAACATTTCATACGCGAGGGTTAATAAATCGATGTTTCGGACCACTGTGCCGATTTCGGGTAGATATTAATTCGACCGTTGAATTGGCTCCCGAAAATGTATATTCGAATTGGCTCCCAAAACTGTTAAATATTATTATTCAACATAGGGGTTCTCATAATATTGTACGCGTTTAATTTTTCGACACCGACCGATTACAGTCCCGGTCCGATATAATATTTTTATTATATATTACAACGACACTCTATAATTTCTGGCGAACATTTTTCGAGTCGAGTGGCAAATTTTTCCGATCAAAGTTTTTGAAATCGTTTACGTGCTCAATGGAAATCATATACTCCGAGGACAAAAACAAAACAACATATTTAATACATATGTTTGTATTCGGTACGTACGTATAATCTTTTGCAGTTGTATGAATTATGTTTTTATTAAATATCCTTAAACTTGGTGTTTCATGTATAATTATTTTACGCCGTCTCTTAGCGGATGAAGTTTCGATGTCAGGCGTGATGAACTTGGTCATTTTCGGTGAAACACAAGCGACAACAATCGTTTCTCATCGGTCGAAGCGCGTTTCTGTGCACCGGTTTAATTGGATTTCGTCGCGGAGAACGCGTTGTGCTCAAGCACTAGTTGACGGGGGGGGAAAAAAAAAAAAATCGAAATTATTCGATCAGCACTGTAACATCGCGTTGCTCGCTGTGTTCCTTTGGGTTGCCCACGACCGTTAAAATTTTATTGGAAAGCGCGAATCTTTTTTTTTTTTTGAAAAACGTCGACCCTTTCGCGTGCCATCGGAATCCGGCGCGTGCGCCGTGGGTTCGCCACCGCTGTGTCACGTCGTGCGTGTGGTTCGCGGCAGCGCGGTTGGCCGGTGCATTCGAACGATGCACGCGAACGGTAATTCTGCGCGCATTGATTGTATCGTTGACCCGGCGGAACGGTGGCCGACGTCTTGCGTTACGGAAACGGCGGACGGGAAAAAAAAAAAAAAAAAAAAAAAAGAAAAAACAGCAGCCCGTGTTGACTGAAAACAACGACGACGGCGTTCGTCGAACAGTGAACCGTATTTTATTACGTATCGTCTAATCGAAGAGAGCGGACGAGAGAAAAAAAACGATCACCGCATACGATGCATCGCGTTTGCCGGTCGCACGAGCGTGTACGAATCATAATACAAACGGTTCGTACACGATTCCCGGGGCGATCGTGCGGAGGGCGAGCGCGCGCGTTGCACGTCGTGGCCGCGAAACGATCGGACGAACGCGGACGACGAGCGTCGGACGCGTTACGCGCGCGCATCATAGTTTTTATCGACCGCGCGGGTGTTTTATCGTTGAAAACGCGGCCGTAATCGCTACGGTTTTCGTGTTGTGAATTAGCGTGATTAAAACGAAGAGGTTAGTGCACCGCGGGCCTGAAAACACCGCGTGTCCGTACACGGTTCGGCAGTGAACACGCGCGATCGTATTGCTGTTCCTGCAACGGATTACGAATGTCACGCGTGGGGAAACGTCTTCGGCGTGCAGCGGAATCCAAACGACCGTCATGACACCGTCGTCTACCCGCGGGGTTGGGAACGCGCGTATCGTGCAAATATTATTACGACGTCCGAATCGTTTTCAATCGCCTTTTGAAAACGCGAGTAAACGAGTGCATCCCCCCCGATGGATCGTGTACAGCAGTGGCGTACGTTCAATCTTGCTCTGACGGCGGGCAGGGGGGGGAGGGTCCAGAAAAATATTCGTTGTCTTTTTTTTTTTCGTTGCGCAGATAAACAACTCATACGGATAGATATTGTTTTATATAACTTTTTTAACGGTTTAACAGTTTACTTTTACGTTACAGTAAATTAGTAGTTATTGGATTATAAAAACAGCACAATTAACAGAACTTTTACACGTAACAATTGAACTACGAATATATTACACGTCATCAATAATATCACAAATTTGAGCCTCCCCCCCCGGGGGGGGGGGGGTTAAACTTGAAAACCACCCCCGTATGTACGCCACTGGTATACAGTGCCGCAACATCCGGGTGCGTTGTTGCTTGTGCAAAACACACATCTCCCTACTGATGTGCCGTGGGTAAATACCCGACGGGTAGGTAAATATTTTGGGTATTTACCCGCTATAATATTTACCTACCAAAAGTTTGGGTAAATAT